TGCAGAACGTGATCGGGGTCTACCTACTTTTGGAGTTCTCACTAATGCCTTTGAAAAAGCCAAAGCTTCAGCAACATCGAACGTAAATTGCAATAAATCTTTTTGTTTTGTTGAACCAGATTCTTTACTTGCATCTCTTCGGTATTCCAGCCATGAATTGCAAACGGTGATGTTGAAGTAGTGGAAGATTATGCGGAGGGTCCACTTTTTGGAACGAATGAAGGTGCGATACAGAGCCACCAAAAAATCGCTTTTATCTACTCCCCCCATGCTTTTATTATACAGTCTAATAATTGCTGGTCTTTCAATAGAAAGGGGCGTTCTTTGTTTTTTATCCCACCGCCTGACTTGGTCAACTGGATCTTTAGCAACAAAATTGGAAGCCATGTTGACAGCTTTGTTGTCATACCATTGTATTGGGTGCTACAAATTTTTTTTTCCTCCAAGCGATTGTAGTTTTCTTCTTTTGGCGCTATCATTTTAAGTCTGGCAGTTTCTCCAGTATGAGTATATTCTTTGCTCCATTATCAAAACTAATCTTTTTACGATCTTGTTTACATAAATGGCGTAAAAGTGGAGATTAGTATGTAGGTACTGTTATGTGCTTATTTTCCGTAGAAGCACAGTGTCGGCGGCAAGGTGGCGTTGACAGGGAAACAACCTTAGATATTAACTAATTCTATTGCTAAACACACTATGAAATTCAATACAAACGAAATACAACAAATATCAGTAACAATTGTATCACCTTAACTTACACTAGTACTGAACCCCCGATCCCTACTCTTAACCTCTACCTCCCTTCAAGAGGATTAAGCCCCCTTCAGCATCTGCTGTCCTAGATCAATCCCCCTTCGCAGTCCACGGCGACGGATCCTCTGGGACTTCCACAGTCCCCCTTTGGTGCTCTGGTTGTATGGGGGTAGAGATGAGAGGCAGTTTCTCTGGTTCTTCGCTGTCTGGCGGCTTTACTCTCCGAGTCCAGCACAAACACAAAACGGGGCAATAGAAATGCCACGGCAACAGCTATGTGGCGATAATATCAACGTGATGGTAACATCAATGTGGTGACTTTATTGTGACGGTAACAGGAATGTGGCGAGTTCACGCTCTTCTCTTAATAACCCACACCGACACATCAGCCGATGGCAACGGAATTGTTTAATTCACGCCAGTTAAGTTTTGGCACGGCTTTTCCCCATGGCGTCCAAAAATGGCCGAATCTCGGCAGTACCGGTGTCAACCGTCAATTTCCACTCTAAAACGTCGACCTCCCTGCGCGTCGTGCGTACCAGCGGCGTCCCACAATTCAGTGGCGTAACGTTCGATTTTTAAACCATAACAGTACTTAGCAAAGGGAATGAAATAAATTATTCATTCTTTTGTACCTACAAGCGCCTCATTAACAGTGTGAGCGTTCAAAAAAGTTCTGAATGAAAAAACATCTTTGGTTTTATCATGGATTAAAGATAATCCAGAACTAATTTGTAGTGACCAAAAAATTTTCTGCAAAGAATGCAGTAAACTCCAAGATTAATTGTTAATACAAGGTTATTGCGAAATACATGCAAAAAAAATGGGGAATAGTTCACAATATGATTATGTCACTGGGTAAAATTCACGGTCCTAAGTAGTAGCAGTGTCTAGAAAAAAATTATTTGAAATTAAATGGAAATTGTTATACGCGCCGCTGGTAATGTTTTGTGACCTACATAGTTACTACAATGAATGGAACAGAGCGAGTCGGATTAAGAACCAAAAAAGTGATTTTATCGGGCACTTTTTTAATCGCAACGTGAAAAACAGGGAAAGGGCCAGTCAGCATCGAGCGGTCGGTGAAATGGACCACGTTAACCAAAAACGTCCTAAGCGACAAAATTGCAATTTGAGTAATACTAGAGTAAACTTTCATTAAAAACAAAAAATGTGTATTAATGTCTGAATAAAATTTTTGCCTTAAGAATACATGACTTTTTGAATGTAGTCTATTTTGTTAATGGCATCAAAAACACTCAGTCCTTTACAGTTTTAAAGAAGCATTTTGGCGCTTGGTTGTTTTTTGAGAAAACCATGATATTAAATTTATTATTCCGTAAAAAGGCACTAAGTAATCTTTTGAAAAATATTATATATATTTATATTAATTTAACGACCTGCTATAAAAAGGAACATATGCCATGAAACAAAAACAAAAATGATTAAGTTAAATTTGTTTCCCCTAATTCGAAATCGATATCATTTGAAAAACTCTCCACATAAAATTCACAGTTTATTCCCCGTAAGTTTTTGTAAAAGAGTTTGGGATCCTCGGGAATAAAAGGACATAATGTTTTTAGATCTGCCAACTTTTTACGCGGTATTTCTTTTCCATTGGGCCATAATGTAAAGAATTTTCCAAAATTTTTAGAAGTCTTCCTTTTATGCATCAAAACTTCATTGTAGATCTCATTTTCCTGCACACTAAAAAATAAATGGTTCCACGAATTATAATATCGGCAATTCCTACAATATTTTGTGGTCGTATATAGGACAATGATTATTTTAGTTACAAACATCATGAATTTATTGTTAATTTTTATGGTTACAAGAACTTTAAAATATTGTAAATCTGTTAACCACAAAACTGTGGTTATAAAAGCCAAAAATGTTGTACTTGCTGGAACCATATTCTACGGTCTTATTAAACAAAATTTGATAATTGTCGTAACAAAAAATTATGTATTTCAACTGTAATAAATGATATCATGAACGATATTTTATGGTTGTTACTGCCGCACCATTAATTAATTAATTAATTAATTGATTAGCACTTTTGGAGGAATTAAACAAAAACTCGTATTTTATTGAAAGCATAGGTATATTGAATATAAAATGAAAATATAAACATAAACATATAAAGAAAATTAAACAATACTTCTTAACATTATAGAAACATATTTATATATTAGGCTATTACATAATATATATATGATGAATATATGTACTTCAGTTGTTACGTCTGTTTAGACAGAACTATTTATATTAATTAAACTATTTCCATCGTATGACATATGGTATAAACAATTGACGTGTAACTTATCAATCTCCTGAAGTTCCTCTGTTTTAATGTCATTTTGTAATTTAACATAATATGCACGTAAATGCTGATCATAACCTAAAGTTTCAAATAACTGGAACGTTATCTTTATAATATCAACTTCAGTTTCAGCAATAGAACATACACTGCCAAAAACTGGATGTGATTCTGTGAGATACACTATTAAAATAGTCCCGTGTTTTATTAGTTTGTCATAAACTTTTATCCATTTATAAATAAATCCTTTTTGTTTGTCATATTCTGTAATTGCAGATTTTTCAATAAATCGGGAAAATCCATCCTTAGATATCAATTTGTTACGCAGTTTTAGTTGGTGTCGGATTGCAATTGTTAAGCAAATATTTTTTTTTGAGTAAGAAATATTAGATATATTTTTTAGAGTTCTATGCTTTGATTCGAATCTCATTGACCAAAGATTTATTAAGGGACCAGACATTCGCATAATTAAAGGATAGTGAATCATGTTGTGATGCTTTGGTTTTAAACTGTACCCTAATGAACATAAGATTTGGTGATGTTCTGAAATAAGGTTGTTTAATAAAAGTGTAGAGTCCATATCAAATTTTGAAGATAAAACAATATCTAAAATACTCCGAAGAGATAAATATAATCGCCAATAAATATTATTAGAAGGGACCAAATGACCAACCATGATTCCAAAGAGAGTCACGAAATATAAGGTTTCCGAAGCTGATAGTCTTATGTTGCCATTCTTTAAATGCTCCTCCTTAATAATAGGTAAATTGCAACGAGCTTTATGATTAAATGCCAAAATCATTTGATTTAAGGCTTCAAGAGAAAATAATTTTGCTTCATATATATTATTTTTCAAAATTATCTCTAGGTCATATTTACAAACCCCTTCTAGGAGATCATGCATTATATCTACTGAAAAATTCCTAATTACGTGAAAATTTCGTAACTGATTCCAAACGGATGGACTTTTAATGCCAGATGAGCTACTGTCGCAACTGGATGTATCAGCGGAATAATTTTCAATATTACGAAATAAGCTCGAATCTTCGGTCAGCTGAGATTTCATCTTAGCTCTATCTACTTTACAGATTCGACAACAACGATTAGCTGTAAAACTTTCAACGAAACCTAATATTGAATTTAATCCAAGGTTGTCGCCAATTATTAATCCCAAAGAAAAATATAAATGGTAATTGATACCGTCTACATTAATTGCAATTCCTACGCTTTCTAAATATTTCAATTCATCTATCACAACCTGAAATATGTTATTTCCTATATCTTTACGAGCACTAGATCGAAACAACTGAACAAAAAATATGTTTTCCAAAAGAGACTGAAATTGTTTTGGAAAGCATGGCACCGAGATGTAAACTACACCTAATTTGTTCACACCAGAATGTGATCCTAAAACATTTCCTGATTCAAAATCGTCAAAATATAAAAATAAGGGAATAACTAATTTCCCAGAGAATGATTTACGGATGTCTTGCCATAAATTACACTGAACAAAATTCTCAAAGAGACTCGTAGAATCCAGAGATTTTATATAATCTAAAGTTGCACTTAAAACATTAGGAAGTTCAAACACGCGTTTTAAAACCTTCCGTAAAGGAATGAAAACAGTTGTCTCCTTAATGCTAACATGTTTGGGACACACATTTTCTGAGTAAGTTTGTAGTGATTCAGAAAGAACAATTTCTACAGGTTTAATATATAAGTCGTGTTTTTCTAAATATTTAAATATCATATGTTCTGATCTGAACAACTTAAATTTACTTTGAACATACAAAAAACTTGAAGAAATGTATTCTAATTCATTATTTTTGATATTGCATGGATCAAAAGTTGCTTTTAAAATATGTTCTATCTCTGAAAGTAAATCTCTAACACTAGAGATTATATTTTGCATTTCTGAACGGGGCACTGAGTTACTTTTATATAAGTGAGAAATAAAAAGCGCAATACTACTCTCAATTTGATTTTCCTTATTTGCAATTATGTCATTATATAATCTGTTACTAAAAGGTTCACAATAATCAGAAACTGTTGTTTTTGAAACAACACTATTGGGAGCTGTATGGAATAAAGGTAGTGTAAAATTTGTATCTGGACTACTACACTGACCTGTAACGTTGTTAGACAACCACTGAGTATTCAGAAAGTTTTTTCTGTGAAAATTCGAAAGATGTTTGTAAAAAGAGTTGTATGAACTAAATTCTTTTTGACACGAATACGAAATGCAGCGAATATATTTACCATCATAGGAATGTCTATATTTCATATGCAATAATAAATTTTTTTTTGAACTTGAAAATTTGTGACAACAATTCATTATTTTTAAATATTACTTCTCACTCTCAGATTCATTACACAAATCAGATATCAGAGCAGAAACAATTGAAGACTTTTTGTCCCACTCTGTCTTTAAATCATAGATGTAAATTTGTATTAACTGCCAAACATGAGAACATTCAGGTGGATATTCTGCAACAATTGCATGAATTATTTTAAAACAAGTGTTTACACTTTTCAAGGCCGATTCAAAAGGATATGTACAGTTATCGATGGAAATATAGCCCTTCAGGTTGTTCAAATCTGGTCCAACAATTGTTATTAGAGGTTGGCATAATTGTTTGGTTTCCGCATATTTTCGATGTCTTCGTTCCAACATCAATTGCATCTCTTCACTGGTTTTCACGTAAGTAATGAAACTGTTCGCTACTTCAACTTTAGACGGTTTCCATTTCTTTTTATTTGTCGTAACAATCACTACTGGCATTAGATACGGTAGTGTTAATAAACTTAGAACAGCAGTGGCGTCTAAACAGAAAATTATTATTAACTCAAATTACAAAGAAATAAATCAATTGGTTTTACCTTCATTCAAAATATTAATGTTTTGATCCGGAAAATGTTGAGTCAGTACGCCTCGGTATTGGGCCAATCGTAATATAATATGTTTTTTTTTTATGTATTTCGGCAAAAAATATTTCTGATTTTTTGGGATAAAGATAATTGAAATCAATTTCCAGCTAAAAAAATATACCACCTATAAAAATGTGAACTTACATAATATACTGTTATATTACTTACTAATTGATAACCTAAGGACTTTTCTAAAATTTTATATTCTTGAAAATATTCTTGGATAGTTGTGGTTGTATTCTGGTTATAGCGGGGAATTCTTACACATGTAGTGGCCTTCCATTTAGCCAAAACTTCTGGCCAAGGTTCTGTATTATACCTTAACCAACAACAAAAGTCTTCCACGTCATCCTCGTAATCTTGACTACCTATTAAAAAAAAAGCGTAGGAATTATATCTTCAAAAATTAATTACATACGTACTCGCTATTTCTACAGTTTCATGAACTTCAAGGCTTGATGATGGACACGCAGTGGTGAGAACGCCAGATTTTTTCAACTTCTTTCTTTGATTATGGTAACGATCAACTAATTTACCCCTCATACACTGGACAGTTTTTTTGTTTTGTCTAACATACGGTATATAGTATGTGGAAATATCTTCGTTCGGGAATTCTTGCTTTATGAGACGGGCTAATTGTAAAAGTTTTCTGGTCGGAATACTAAAATAGCAATTTTTTACAAAAATGTATGTTCGATTTTCAGTTCTTTCGTTAAAACATACTAGGAATTAATGTCTTGTAGTAAATCGTGATCGATTAATAATGCAACGAGATCATCTCTTAATTGCGGTGTTAAATGGTTTTTCTGGGCCAATATATTACGACCTTTTATAGAATTTTGCAAAAATTTTTTCAAATCCTACAAAGCAATGACATCTTACAAAAAAATATATGTGTTTACTTACAAGCTCGTATGTCACTTCCAGATTTGGAAGTTTTTCCAAAAACGAATCACACCGTTTATACGGTACCGGTACAATATCTAAAAACACCATTCAAACATAAAACTCTTAATAAAATAACAGTAAGTCACTAAGCACCTGGTCCTTGATATTTCATTAAACAACAAAAAATCATCAAAGAATAGAGTGGGTGATTTTACTACGTTGGGCATGCTGATTCTAAATCTGCAATTAGTTTTTTTTTTTTTTTTGTATACGTCACATTATCGAGATGATCGACATAACTGATGAATGACTAATTGAATTTTATGTTTCTGCGAATATGATCAAACGTGTATATTCCTCTCCGATGATTATAAAACATTTTTATGTACCATTGCATTGTTAAAAAATATCAAGTAAAGTGGAATTACGTGACAACGTCGCATTGGAATTTACGGTTCTAAACCTGAGGAAGAAGCCACTGAGAATATATAAAAATATAAGTAAGGTGCTCCATTAAAAAAGCTAAGCTATGTAGTATGTCTCAGACACAGAACATTCTGTGTAGTTAAAAATAATTTAATGATACTCAAAGACCCGGACAACTTTTCTATTTTCAATAATAATTGAGTTATCGCTTAGTGACTCACCCCTGTATATATATGTCATTACCAAATATCATACAGTACCTAAAGGTAAATTATCATCCACTCTATAAACTGTAGAGCACGTGCCTTTACTAGTGCTGGGAATGGGTTCTTGTGTCTCTTTGTAAACTAAAATTATATACATAAAAACATGTTTTCACTTAAAACCATACATTACCTGAAGTATCACTAGGAGCATCATTTGTCTTAACTACTATTGTTTCTAAGCAGTTATTATCTGTTATTACATTTTCTTCGTCAATTCTATTGTACAACTGTCTAAAACCTTCTTTAAATTTAATTCTGTCCCCATACTTTGCAATCAGTTCTTTGAAATCTTGTGAATCTGTGTTAATTTTTGAGAATGTATCATCATCTATCGCTTCTTCTGAAAAATAATATTACAACATTTAAAAGTGATGTTAATAAAATTTACAGTTATTTATTCGTTGTTACAGTTATGGAAACGAACAATTTATATTGTACATACTTATGTATGCATTTTGGCAAACCACATTTTAAATTACTTTTAAAAGGAAAAGATACTACACGATTTTGCTTTAATTCTCCAAAATTTAAAAGAAAAAGGTTGGTGAAGATCACAAAAAAATACAGTGTCAGTATCAAAAGTGTGTGGCTATGTAAGGTACCTAAGCCAAATATTGCCATCTTAAGGTTTAAAATTTGTTGGCAAATTAAATTTTGAAACCTGAAAGCTATATATAAACGATTGTTACGTGAATACGAATTGCCCATTATAAAGATAACTTAAAGCCGTATATGATTCAATTGTTTAGAATTTAGGCGATTTTTAGGCCTGACAATATAAGGAATATGGCAATATATGGCTCAGACACCGTATAATACCCTTAAAAAAACTAAGACCAAATTTGATTTTATAACTTTTTCAGAAATCAGTCCGTTTCTGCCAGGAATGTATCAAATGTATCATAAAACATTATTATGGGTTTTACCTAGTACGAACTGAACTGAATAAAAGATTAATCAGAAATTTTTTGGCCATAGCACACTTCAGTGTATGAGCAATTTTAATTTGAATGGTACCCTGTACCATCAACGTACTCATCAAATAATTATGTAGAGTGCGTTCGTAGAGGAACGTCCTCAGTTGACACTGTTTTTCTCAACCCCTGACCCCGTTGTGCATAACTAACCCATGACGAGAAAAATATACCAGCATAGATTTTTATTAATCGCACACACTATGATGTTACTTGCATCACGTTACACAATTTGTTTAATTTACAACGGAACAAAGTATTTAACATTAGGATTGTATTATATTAATTGGCATATTTTTAAAGTAATGTTTAAAATAACATATTTTTATGGAAAAATGAACTGATTCAAACATACCTTATCCTTGTATGACTTAAAACAAATGAACACGAAACCGATCGTTGCATCAAGTCTTGATTGCTTACATTGCAACTATTATACTAAGTGAAGCACGTATATTTAGCTACTTACCTTCAAATTTAGCAATGAGATGGGACAAACTCCATGCTTGTAAATATTTTTTTACATTTTCCATTGTCGCAACACCACAAAATGAATTATCAGTATCACAAAACACCAACTAGGTAAACTGTAATTTTTTAATTCTTGGGATAACGAATCAAAACACAAAGACGACTACGGACGACCACAAATGTGCTGACAATTGTCTGGCACTAAGTGGGAAATTATGCCATTGGTCGAATCGATGGCGGTTAAATTAAATTTAACTATAATTGTGGTTTGTTCAACAAAAGGTTATAGTATGGCAGATTACTTCCAAACATTATGGTTGTTACAACCATTTAGTAAGAGTTATGTCAAAAGAGTACTACACATATAGTTATTGATACTATATGGTTCATAACCAAAATTGTATGATTGTTACAACTATTTACTTTTTTTCACCTATAATGTAGCCAACAATAAATAGGGATATAACAACCAAATTCATTTTAACAATCAGGTATGGTTGCAACATTTTTTAGTGTGTGATTACTTTTCATAAAAATAGAAAGCGGTTTATCTTTAGTAAGTTTAATCACTCTTGTTTTCAAGCATCTAATTCTTTATTCATGTATGCCTTCTATTTGTGACACTAGACTCTAAATCGGCTTCACTACAAAAATGTTCTTTCTGCATAAACTAAACAATGAGTGGATTTTTCTTTCTACCATTCTGGACCAAAGCACGTAGCGCTTATAAAAAAGGAAAAACAATACCAAGGCCTATTCAAAAGAAAAAAGAGCAAAACATTCCTCGTTTAAATTTGGACTACAATCCGATCTATTCTTACAGCATCTCCTCTTTCACGACAGCTTATACCGTTTATAGGTATGTGTCTATCGAGGAGAATCATCGGCACGACCATCAATCCTGAATTCGTCTTCGACGCATGAGCCTTTGGCGAATCAACAGGACAGGTCATTGTTGTTCGATATTACTGTAAGTCATGAATAGATGGAAGAATCCCAAAACCGAGAAATGTTTTGAGAATATTTGGCAGCACTCAGTTGTCCGTCAAACTTCGTGGGTCCTCAATCTCTATGGCCACTCGAGATCTCACCAGTTCAGATTTAAGAACAACTGCATTCTCAATAAAAAAAGGCTATGCTAATTTTGTTATTGATTTAAAAAAATTTAATTATTTATAGTGTACATAACAGGTATCTAAATTTATTTCTTAAAAATTTTGACTTTTCAGCGCTTTACTGAAACACTAAGATGGTTGAGCGCTCGTATGGTCTATAAACATCCTGCAAATATTTTTTTTCTGTTGTAGAAATCGTTCTTGTGCAATTTAACAATACTTTATAAAGTTTTAGCTACCTTTTTAGTTTGCATATTATCTAATTGAATACTAGCCTTATAATTTATAAGCATCGCTCAAAAAGACGTGATGAAATTTCGGTTCCTTGGCAATCTTTTTCTGTAATAGCGATTGTTCTTATTCAGACTAACAGTTATAATTTTATGTTGATTTAAAGCATTTGTATACTGTTGCGGTATGGTAGGTGGGTAGGGTATAAAATAAAAGTAGCAGGGCGGTCCTTCTTGTCGCGAGAATGATCTTTAATGGCAGACGAAAACTCTCGTCTGATGAGATTCTTTTATATTTTTTTTTGTTTCTTTTGTTGTAATAAACCAAGGATTTTATATAAATAAGTAGACAGGATTGCTCGATCCGTCGAATTATTCTGCCTCAGCGGCGTGACTGGATGACGTCATATGCCGACCTAATGCCGACCGGCTCGCTAGCGGAGCATTAATTTTATTGGTCTACCATTTAATGTAGAGGTGAGAATAAGACTAAAAAATGTGATTTTCTTTAACTATTGAGCGGGTAACAATATCTACTTCAATATTATCATACGAGGATACAAAAAATGATTTAATTACTAGCTTCTAAATATGGTAATCTTTTAAGACAATTCAGAGAATTATTATTGACGAACAATATCGAACTGAAGCAGCATGTAAACAGTAGATATAACAGTATTACGTAGTGGGGTAAAAAAAAGTACTAAATAAGTGCCTATGAAAAGTATAACTTTAAACAATTCAATTTCATAATCTGATCCTCCACTAGTCGTCAATAACCGAGTGAATAACGCTATAAAAAGTCCATTTTTTATCCAAGGTATGTAATTTATAGATTTGTAAAACGCGTTTATTTGGGGGATAAAACTAATAGTGTAATAGTAAATTAAAGCAACATTACCTAGGTAAAATGGAACAGAGTTGTAAATCTCACTCTAAAATAAGTATATTTATATTAGTTTTGTTTTGTATGAGTAACTGTGATTAATCTTTGAACCCTGAATACCTTGGCAAATAAAATACTCATATTATTTTGTAAGTTTATTTAGTTTCCTACGTTTTTTTCGTTCTGTATCCGTATTTTGAGCAGATTGACTTGACTGACTTGCTCTTTTGCGACTCCTTTTCTCGATAAGTTTAATGTTCATATAGTTCATTCGTATTATCGTTCTTAATTTGCAAAATGCCCTAATGATATCCCTAGTAATCGTCGTTTCCCTTCGGTTTATTTTTGTGGTTAATTTTTCAACTATTCCTGAACATTTTTTTAATGCATCACCATGGTGCTGCTCAAAATAATTGTTCCACTTTTTAATCTTGGTATGCCATTCTCTTGTAGGCTGTATAAGACCACCATATGATAACTGTTGGACCCAAGACGGTAACTGATAACTCTCTTGCTTTTTCTTATAAGTAAAATCACCGAGTGTAGGATCAGTATTTCTAAATTTTTTTGCAAGATAGCCCGCGATATATTCCAAAGCATCGTTAGTTACTTCAGGACAACTTCTACTAACGTCAGTTGTATTCAGTTCCGATGAAGACGATGCATTTGAAGAAAATGAACTGCTGCTATTCTGGGTCGATTCGTTTTGTAATTCTTCGACTAATGCATCGGATATATCGATATTGGCATTTTTTAGAACACTAGCCGATATATATTCCTCTGGAACTACATCGTGTGTGTTTACTTGACTGTCCAAAATGCCTGGATTTTTGCCCAAAATTATTAACCGCATCCTTTGAATGGCAGCGTTGGGTGTTGGATGTTCGTCTGGTCCTCGACTTCTTATTTGAAAAAAAAAGTTTTCTAGACAATCTTGGTTTAGTTTGTGTGTGCAAATATATTTTAAACTGCCATAGGTAGATTTCAGTTCCAAAAAAAGTTGCTTAAGTGACTTTATAGACATCAAAATTCCTTTTTGAAAAGTTTGCAGGGTGTTCTTTCCAAGCGCACGCATATTTTTTGTTGTGTTGTACATTTTATCAAGACTTTCATCTTGTTCTTGTAAATGGGTTCCATATGCCGATTTTGTGGGAATATTAGCCGTTGACGTATAACTGTTAAATATGTCAAACCATAGGCTGACCATTTTTATAAATTCCGCTGTATTTTCGGCTAATTCTGGATCTCCTCCTGGCCTGTATCTTTTTAAAGCTTCTGCCACGGTATTAGATAATAACTGTGCTGCTAGACGAACTTTTTGTCTCTCGGTTTTTTCAGCTCTTACATGTTTCGCAGTAAGTTTATAACAAACATTAACTTCTTTGTCTGTATACTCCACTAAGCTCTCTAACGGTTTCTTACTGATGATAATATTTTCATCTAACTTGAAACCTGTGTCTAATAACCAGTTGCGGATCAATTTTAACAAATGCGGTGCATCTGCAAACATATAAATATTTTTATTTGTTTGAGGATGCTTAAATGACGTATTATTAATATCGACGCCCAACTGCTTCCAAAGCCCCACATTACTGCTGCCACAGTCGCTAACACATCCCACAACGTTGTAGTGTATTTTATAAAGTTCTGTAACTATATTTAAAAGTATCTCTTTAGTAATTCTTTGATCAAAACCAATAAACACAGGCTGCTTCCATTTGGAAAATCATCCGCGAGCCATAACGACTTGTAATTGGCTATGTGGACCAATTATTTTATCTGAAGCGACGTTGTATTCATATAAAGATTTAACTTTGACTTCATCAAATGCCAGCACAACCGTTTTCTCAAAATCAGACATCTTTTCACCAGCTAAAGATAAAAACCGTAAAATTTCTTTTAATATTCCTTCATCGAAACTTATTTTTAAAGCCCATCTTCTTAATGTTGATAAACCAGGTAGGGGATAGTTTAATGTATTTTTTACGTATACGTATGCTTTCTTGCTATAATACCTTAGGGTAAAAGCAGCTGAAATTTGATTGGATGTCCAATTAACTCGTTTTTTTTTGTTTAACAATAGAGCAACTTGATTCTGCGTTAATATTTTCTTCAAAACATCTTCTGCTTCGGATTTTTTGGCCTTTATATGATGGTTACCGCAACTGCTTAAGGAGATTTTTAAACTTTTTTTCTTATAGTACTGCACTTGCGAGTTCAATAGTTTTATTTTTTGTTTATATTTTTCTTCCATGCGTTCATATTTAACTTTTAGGTTGTTATATTGATGAAATAACTCATCGTCTTCTTTGTTGTGTGATGTGGAAGGCTGAGAAAAAAATTCAGTGGGAAAAGTTCGGTCCGGGATTGCAGTTTCTTCAATGTCAGTTTTTGATTCTTGTATTTTGTGTTCCGCTAAAATATTTTCAACCTCTTCCTTTTTTTCTCTCTTTTTATATCTGTTTGCACGGTCAGAGGAAAAACTAGGGTCTCCATGTTATTGTGTACCTTTATGCAGACTTGGTAAATTTAAAACTGGAACAGCAGTTTGTTTCAAGATTTTCTTCTGTGGCAAACCTTAAAAAGAGCATTATGTTTACGATTATTTTCTGCAGATAAGCTTGGTTTAAAACCTAGTAATTCATTTTGCAGATCTCGTTCATAGTCTTGCTGCGTAAAATGAGTAGAACAAATTACGCTAGTGTTAGGATTCATCTTGTCGGCCCTTTTACATCGTCGAATCCACTCATTCCCAATTGTAGAAGAAGTCAAATTGTTTCCCTGAGGAAATCTGTGATATATAACTTTTAGGCCTTTTTTTTTTTCGTCTCAATCAAACTATTATTGCAACCGAATACGGCGCATCGCATTCCCGGCATTTTGAAATTATCCTTAAGTTGAATAGGGACCCTATTAAAACAAACTACATATTTTTTAATCATTTCATAAAATATAAAATGAATTTTGTAAATTCATTTTCAAACAGATTTCAAATCAATAATATTGTGTCTGTTGTTTCAAACAAATAAAAAATGAATAAAAATCACGATTTAAAAAAAAAAAATAAAGAATTTTTTCTAACCAACAAAATGTACAACCAAATGATTGCACAAAGAAAATACGAATTAAAACAACTGTAATTAAGTATTAATTAAAGTAATATACTAAGGGTGGGTTTATATTACATGGCTTAATTTTTGATTAAGTTAATCATAAAATTAATTTAATTTCGTGATTAAACTAATTGCGGTTTACATATCAATTTTTGGAAAAATTAATCACGTTGTTAACTAATTCAGCGAATTAAAAATGTAACCAATCCTTACGCAAAGTTGGTACCTATTTCACGTCAGAAAACTGTCAACGCGGTCGCGCAATTAAAAACATAACCTATAAAAGTGAGACGCGCGAAACTTTAGAAGGCTACTCACAAACGAAAACGTTAGTTTTCCGTGTGTGTTTCTGTTTCCACTGTATTATGGAGGACAAAAAGGCAAAAAGAGAACGTGGAAGAAATTTCACTGAGAAGGAGAAGGAGGCAGTAGTCGAAATTATAGAACGGTACGTAGATGCAAGTGGAATAAATTTGTTTCAGTGTTTTGTTACTTCTTGAATACCTGGATCTCAGAAGTACCGAGTGTTCTCTGGATGTATGCAAAGGAATATAGCACAAGATTAATTTGGATTTGGAATTTTTATTTTTCTTTCTTTAAAATCTAACATATCGTAGTGTTCATACAGGTATTTGGCGACTTTTAGAGCAACCTTGTTTTTGCCTACTTACATTCTTTCTTGCTAAGATTACCATGGATCACATTTGATATATCCTTTCCCGTTCCTTAACCAATCCATTTTCATTAGATATCGCCCACAACTCGAAAACAAAGTAACAGACGCCACTTCCCATCGGGAGAAACAGGCAGCATGGGAGAAAGTGATACACGAGTGCAATGCTACATCCCAGACAGCCCCCCGAACTGTGAAGCAACTAAAGGTCTTGTGGGCCAATATAAAAAGGACCACAAAAAAATCAATTGCCGAAGAAAATGTGAGCATAACAGAAAATATTTCTATACAACACATTTTTTGTTCAATTTTAGAAAAAACGTTACCTCGAAACTCGAGAAGAGTATGATGGTGAATACGTGGCTTCATTGAAACGATTGAAAATGGACGAGAAGGTACAGTCTATAGTATGTCAAAAAATGTGATTGTAGGGCATTGTACTCCTAAAATTAAAAAATTTAATCATAAATGCGTTTGTGCATGAAGTGTTAACAAAAAGATTTTTTTAGGATTACTCTCCATATCACACTGTGAGAGCAATAGTCACCTGTTTTTGAGTTACATGATGATTTAACATTCCCAAGTTTTTATATACATATTAGTTGTGTTTTAAATACGAAATACTTAGGAATACATTATAGTCGTACTGTCAACCTATTATTAATTGTGTTTTTTGCCATTAGAGTAGAACCTTCTACTCGCTATAGAAAACAAGAAATTTTTACTTATGTGACTATTGCACTGGTACACAATACCAAATATTTTGACTTGCGTGTTAATAAATTTAAGACAAGAGCAAACTAGCAACACATTTTAATGAAAAAAATATAACAAAATACAAAACAATCACAATATTAATTGATTCAACATCTGTTATGGCTAAATTCTTATAAATGTCTGACAGTCTGATGTATTTAAATTTTTTGTACATAAGAATTTTAAAAATTTTGTTTCGCTCCAATTAACTTTCCCATCTTTACCATTCAAAGAAAAATTTATTCCCATGTTTTCGGTCAATTCTTTTATATTAAAAATATTCTTCTGCTCTACTTCATGAACTTTGGCTTTCCAGTTTTTCTTGCTAAAGCTATTACTGGTATCTATAACTTACTAACTTCACTTTGGGATTGTTGTTCGCCTCTTGAACCTCTGGAGTGTATCATTAGTAGGAGACTGAATGATTATGGTTACGACATGTTTCGACTTTATTAATTAACGTCATCATAGGCTTATTTTTAACAAGCTAGTAACATGGATATTAAAATTTATGAAAATACATTGATAAAACTAATAATTAATATGCCCGAGATTTATACAAAATCTGAGGACGTTAATTAATAAAGTCGAAACATGTCGTAACCATAACCATTCAGTCTCCTAATGATACACTCCAGACGTTCAAGAGGCGGACAACAACCCCAAATTAAATACAACTTGAACAGAATGGATCTCCAAAAATTTACTAACTTCACATTTGATTTAACTATATCAGAAGACATTGTGTATTTTTTGTGTTCAATTTGTATCTAAATTAATATCAGATTATCAACATCGACTGAAACATCAAAAGCTTCATGATAGCTTACTTAGATTTTATTTATTTTTGAGATACGGCAGTCTTGCATTAAGTGCATATGTAACTTTCGGAAATGCAATACAAACATTTTGATTAATTTGAGCAGTACGCAGCTATTAAAAGCCGTTTATACTTACATATACTAAAACTACATTAATTTTTTTATAAATTAATGATAAATTTAAGAATTCGGTAAATTTTGACTTACGTGAGTATTGCTCTCACAGTGCGATATAACTTGGAAACTTGATAAATTATGCAGTGCTGTATGTTATATGCTTGTTTCAGAAAGAGAGATCTAAAACAGGAGGTGGACAGTGCAATACACAGCTATCAGATATGGACGCTCGGATACTAGCTATGGTGGAGCCCCAAGCTAGACCCCTGTGTAACATATTTGACTGTGACAATGTGTACCACGGAGGTAAAGTATTCATAATTTTATATAAAAATTCTAGGTTTAATTCTCTTACAAATACACTTGGGGAAAAATTAGCAAATCAACAAGGTATTTTTTTCACTAGTAGCCATGAAACATGCAATTGTCGACTTATTTCGAGGTAGTGAAATTCAACTTTCCTACCAAGGTTCAAAAAGAAGATTGAGGTTATGTTCGCAATACTTGATTTGATTATTTCTTAAAAAATGAATAAATGTGTGCTACTAACATTACTTGACTATACGCATGGTAGTTGGTAGACAGTGGAAGATAAAATGATTAATTCAGCGACAAGTATAAACGGTTTTCTTTGTGTTGATGATTTAGATTAAGTTTGATTAGAAATCAAAACAAAATCATGTTGCGTCAAAAAATTGAACGTTTATTTTTTCAATTTATTGCCTTATGATTTCTACTAGTGAAAAAAATAGTATATTAACCACGTTTGTAAAGCCACTTCTAGACCTAGCGCAAATTAGAACCCGAGACGCGCGGCTTTGCAACCTTGGCTAATAATATACTATTACTCGTTTTGTTCTAACTCCTTCATATAAAATGTCTCCTAATAAACTGTACACTTTCCCAAGAATGTAGTTGAAGGATATTTTTTTGTGCTATTTTATTGTAGGTATTTGGCAAGTTTAGTAAATAAATACATATTTTAATCATTGAAACCATTTTTAGATGTAGTTTTGTCCCCCACTCGTGGACTAATCGTTGTGTCACCTCCAACCCTCCCAGTTCACATGGATCCAGTTCCTGGACCTTCTTGGCGAGATGAAAGTCCTCCACCCTACTTACCATCACCGCCATCTGACCAACCCTTAACGCCTTCTGCCGTTGCTCCAGAAATTCCCCAACCACCAAAAAAGGTGATCCGGAAAAAAACGAGGATTGTAAAATCAAAGAAGAATACCGCGGATTTAAAAAGATTACTGTATCTTAAACGGATAAAATTGGCCGAGATGGAACTTAATTTTAAGAAAAGATTATACAGAATAGAATTAGAAATTAAAGAAAAAGAATTAGAAATTAAAGAAAAAGAATTAGAAAAGTTACAGAGTTAGGCAATATTGAATTATTTTTTGTTCGTTCGTTGTTTTTTTTTTTATATTTTTATGTAAAGAAGAAATATCTTTGTCATTTATATTGAAACACTACCTGCTTATCAAAAATGTCTCAATTTCAACGTTGTCAAATTTACGATCAGTAAGTTGTGTTTCAATAGAAATGGCAGACTTTAATTCAATATAACACAAAATTTTATTAAATATGTAATAGTGGATGTTTTACTTTTTTGTTTTGTTTTTTGTTCAAATTTGTTTTTATCCAAAATGCGTTCGAATTAAAGATGTTCGAACTGCTGAATTTTCATTATTAAAAATTCGAACATTGTTTTGTACGTGTATTTCATTAACCTCCGGTGGTAGGACAATCTCTGGGTCTCTTGGAGGTTCCTCGTCATTAGCAATAATTGCTAGATTGTGGAGAACACAACAAGCGACGATAGTTGTCAGTGTTGTCTCCATCTTTGTCCGCAAACCAATAGAGAGGCAAGGAAATCGTTTCTTAAGGACGCCAAAACATCTTTCTATGGGGTTCCTTGTAGCTTTGTGGCAGTTGTTGTATGCTGTCTCTGGTGCTGTTTGTGGACGAATTAGTGGAGTTAAAATAAATGAGCGGCAGGCATATCCACTATCACCCAATAAAAATCCATCACCATAGCGACCATTTTCGAGATCAGCACATAAAGCGGAATCGTTGAAGATGGTGCTGTCGTGGACGCTACCTGGCCATCTTGCCACAATGTTTAAAATTTTGATGTTAGCGTCACATACGGCTTGAATATTAATAGAAAAGTAATTTTTTCTATTTCTAAAAACTTCGGCTTCGAGTCCACCTGGAGATTCAATCCGTATGTGACTGCAGTCAATTGCGCCAATCACATTGGGCATTCTACGTAATCTATAGAATCCCAGTTTTACATGTTGTAATTCCGCTTGTGTTGGCATCTTGATGTATTGCGGTTTTAATGCTGCAATTTTTCGCACAACTCTTTGAATTATAAGACAGGCCGTTGACTTATGCACACCAAACGTATCGCCCACTAATTGTTGAAAGGCCCCTGTTGCCAAAAATCGTATCGTTAACAATACCTGGTTTAAGGCAGAAATCGATTTTCGCCGATTGCAGGTAGGTTCTAATTCCGCACCAAGAATATCACGCAGCCACAGAATTGTTTCTTTGTTGAACCGAAATCGCATTTTAAATTCTTGTTCATCATATAGTTCAAATGGATTTGTTCTGTCCCTTAAAGCTCTTCTCCTCCGCGGAATCCTTTGAACAATGTTTTCTTCGTCCGATGATGAAGATGACGACGATATATCCGATAAATCAAACATCCCGAAACTGAAGATATCGAATATAATAAAGAAATATGAATAAATTTATTGTGTTATTACTTACGTTTGTAATAATCGTTAAATTTTGTTTATTTTGACCAATTTCGCTCACTCGTCACAAATACGCGAAGCGTCAAAGCGGGCGAATTAGCGAGTTAATTGAAGTCGCTACTTCGATTAAGTTAATCGTGTGATTAACATTTTAATTAAGCGTAATTTCGCTTTTGTAAACCGATATGATGTTTAATTGTGTGATTAATGTCGTTATTAGCGAATTAATTTAACAAAAAATTAAATTTTAATTTTGTGTTTAATCGCACCTCGATAACGTCAAAAAATTAAACTAATCGATAATTAACGCTTAATTTTTAATTAAATATTTAATTCGGCTTTTATAAACCCAGCCTAAATGTGTATTAATTGAAACACTGCTAAAGATATCCAATGTTTTATTACGTAAATTAATTTGCTTCATTATTTGTTTCATCTTTAAATTTAACTTGAGAAATAATTTCTAAATTCTTCATCTGCTGTTTAACTTCATTCTTGACCAACGCCGCTATTTCACTTCTAATAATATTTGCAATATCTTTTCTTAATTGTTTTACTTCATTATTATTAGTAGTAATATCTTTTCTTAATTGTTTTACTTCATTATTATTAGTAGTAATATCTTTTCTTAGTTGTTTCAAATCATTATTATAAGTATTAAAATTAACCTCCATTTTTTTTAAGACAGACATTAATGAAGCCTTTTCTTCTTTTAATGTTGCGTGTGCCTCGTTATATTTGCTTTCCCACGTAGCAAGCTGTAAAAATAAGCATATAATAACACGAACGCATAAAGACGAAGACACGTAACGAGACAGACACATAGAAAGACATAACGAATGTTCTGACAACGCAGCTCATAGATTCGCTATAGCATAATAAAAGGTTTTGCAGGGAAATGTTTGTAGCACGACCTGCTAGATGAAAATGCGTCTATTACGTATTACGTCCCGCTCAACCTGCACAACACGGTGTAGATGTCGCGAGTACATACCGGAAGCCGTCAAATGACGCTAACATGACAACGAGACCCTAACCTAAGATTTTTTGTGTCGAATGACGCTTCAAAAACAAACGAACCTCAAGTGTCACTCGGCTTGTCAGTTTGACAGAAATTGGTGTGCGAGCGCCACGTAACGGAAAAAATTGCGAATCCCCGAAGTCAAAAAAACAATGAAATTTGCGATATTGAAGAGCCGCTAAGACGCACTTACATCTAGCACGTTGTGGTTTGTAGTAATCAAAAGTTCTGTGTTAATAATGTCACGTGTGAGTCGTGTTTTCTGTATACATTCGGTACACTCAGCTAAACTAGAGGTTATAAAGTAAATTGATGAAAAAAAAGTAAATTTTCAATTAGGAAACGGAACTCATCAATTTTATTAGTTAATTTCCATCAAACCAATATAGGGGAATGCCGTGTTTGTATTGCTAATAAACATCAACGAATGAAACGTTTAGGACAAGGTTGATATTTTGTGAAAACGGTACAAGAAAACATTTTATCAATATTTTTAACAATTGCTCATAAAAAGGTGTAAAGAGAGTATTCCTAGTATTTCATTTTGAAAACCAATGGACGCGTTTAGCGAACGAATGGCATAGTTAGATGATGATCACGTGTATGTACTGTTTATACATCTATTTATTTCCTTTTCTATATGTTTACAACAAACGAAAGGGACAATGTTGCAACTAGTGGAGAGCGTAGCTGTGTGCTACGTTGCCAGATCATTGGTCCTAAATAACATTACAAACAAATAGGACACATTAACACTGGAAAGTGATTATTACACTTGTCGTCGCTCTTGTCTCGCTAACGCTCCTCCGTCTTCTGTGCGTCTCTCCGGAACTCACCTGCGGCCTTGGTCGCAGCGTAGGTGTACTTCTTGAACTCATATTATTGGATCTAACACAAAGAAAGATTAAGATCATAAAGAAATATTACACATACAGGTCGCTAAAAAGTATGGATACAGCTAAATATTTTCAGAACGCTTTAGCAGAGCTCATTGAAATGTAGGATACAGTTGGAGTTTTTTTTTTCAATTTTTTACCATCATTTATTTTGAAAATGCAAGGCTAACTTTTTTAAATGGTACGGGCGATCAAATTTGTTATTAAAAAAAAACGCATTTTTTCTGAATTCATTAATGTAACACATGCCCATCTTTATTTTTATGAAAAATAAATAAATAAATAAAAATTCAAAGATATAATTCTGGAAAAGTAAAAGAAAATGGGTTCTCTTTCAGTTAAATGTGTTATTTTTGCAATTATCATTAATTTTTATTTATTTATTGGTCAAAGTTCAGGCGGCAAAGAACTAAAGATAGATAAAGACAACATTTCCAAGTGCTAACAAAATTTTACATTTTTCAAAATTTTGTTCGATAATTTTTTTAAAAGTTTCGATTAAAATAAGATAATTATGCATCACAGAACTCAGAAAAAATTTTCTTTTCGAAAATATTAAAATTGACCCTTCATGCCATTAAAAAAAAATCAAGTTAGACTTGTATCCCCAGAACAAATGAAGATGGAAATTTGAAAAACATCCTAGATGATGGAATTTAATACTTTTAACCATGTACCAAATTTCAACAAGTTTTGTTAATATTTAACTGTATCCACACTTTTTATCGACCTTGTATATACACTAATTATAAACAGGAATTAATCTAAAGGTAAATATTCCAAGCTGTTAAAAGCATGACAAACTAGTTGAAGTTGCATGTTCAAAATACCGATTTATATTCTAACAAAAAAGTAAACTGAAAAATCTTTTTTATCACAATTAATAGCAATCATCATCAATGGCTTGCTGGATATGTAGTGGCATATTATACAGGTTGATTCCAGTATGACCTTTCGAACTTTGATAGATGATTAAGGATGAGAATCTGAATAAAAAAGTCTTATACTAAATTCTCGACAAATTTTACGTTTAAGCGCTTGTTCAACAGCGGAAACGAAAATCTGGATTTTTTTTTTGACAAATTGTTAACAAACTTTCGTTTCCTGTTATATGCAAACAATTTGGAAATAAAAAAGCAAACATGAGATACCACAATTAAATAAAATTTTTACAATAAATTAAGAAATGACCAATACTAAAGAGAACAAAATTGTAGCAGAATATTATACACCTTTAAAAACAAGACAACAATCTGACCTCCAGCAATTTAAAAATAGTTACAAATCTTTTACCCAAGATAAAAAACTAAATATACCAAAAAATATCAATGAAGTAACTCAAATGAGAAATCGTAATTTTGCTATTGAATATCTCAATTCGACTGTAAATAAAAAACTAACAAAGACAGAATTTTGCAAATCTAAAAATATTTCTAGAAATTCCCTAAATATGGGATTAAATTCAGTTGGAATTCAGATTGCATGTAAGACGAGAACAAATGAGAACAAACGGGAACAATCCGAGACAAAAGAGAACAAATCGGAACAATTGGGAACAAAACAGAGAAAAAATAAAATAAAAAATAAAAAAATATTCGATAATGTAGAACATAAAGCAGGTAGTCGTAAACATATAAGTTTAGATGAAGAAGCAGATAAATTGATTAGTAAATCTTTAGAAACTTTTCAGTCATAAATGGACAAATTAGTTTCATACATTCCCAACGATGAGAAAGAAAAATGGAAAAAAGATTTAAAACCTATTATTACTGAAATAGACGGATTATAAGATGGAGCAAAAATAGTTGCGTTCAAACAAGAAGTAGTAGATAAATATATTGCAAGAAAAACAGCTAATTTGTTCCTTGAACAATTAATTATGACAGACTGTGAACTAGAATCCGCTAATAATAAAATCGATGAATTGGAATATAAATTAGACAACTACAATAATTATGATCCTAAGAAATTAGCAGAATTAAGAAACAAAACAGTAGTAATACCATCAAACATCGATGATGTAAAGAAAAGAACTCTGAAAATAGTTGAAAGACATACTAAAAATATGAGAGCAATAAATGAAAAAACTCAAAAATTGTAAATTAAATGGAAAGTACTGTATTCAAGAATTTAAATATATTCAATGAAGAATATCCAAAATTCAGAAAAAAGTTTTCAAGTCTTATTCAACAAGTTAATAAATTAAAAATTATTATTGTTATTCTTACGTTTATTATCGTAGTTGTTATTATTATTATTAATATCTTTTAAAAAAGTCCAGTCACAGCGTGCAAGCAGGTCATAAAGAAGAGGATAATTTGCATTCTTGAAATTGTTACATCGATCTTTACTATTCAAACGAAAAGGAAGGAAAGAACTCTTAAGAATTGTTTTTATGCGTAAATAAAGAGCGGGGTGATGTAAATCTTCTCTACCAATGGCGAGACTGCTTTCTCGACCACGCATTCAGAATTGAAAAAAATTAGGTCCAAAAGTTTTCCATGAACATTAAGAATATTGTTGTACTGATGTAAATTATGAAGATTACAAAAGTGGTTTATGGTGGTACAGAATCGATTTTCAATACTAGTAATATAGTCAGGTACATTGAAATCGCCTATGAATAGAACATTATTTTCATGTTTCAAAGGTTCTAATGAGTTAAGAGCATCAATAAAAAGTTCAAACTCTAGAAATGGAATATTAGGCTGTATATATAATACTACTACAAAGAATTTAATATTTCGACAATCACTAACTTTAATGCATATCATATCAATGAAGGGAAAGCTACTAGTAATACTGCTGACATCTAATTCGCTACACTTAAAAATATGCTTTATAGCAAGCAGAACACCACCACCTTTTGATAGTCCTGTTAATTCAGCACTCCT